TGCATGGTCAAGTGGAAACGTTAATACTAAAAGCTTAAGGAATGAAAAGTTTTTTAACGCTTCTTTTTTAATGTTATAAATGTTATAACAGATAAACTTCTTTATATGAATATAATTCTATCTATATGATTCTTTCAGATTTGAGAAACAATGACTTTCATTATAATATTCTAGTTACTTTTATAATAGTAAAAATATATATAGGTCAGTTAATAAATTTCTACATAATTGTATTAAACTTTAAATATAATTATAAATTGAAAAAAAATAGAAAAATTATAAAATACTATAGAAAAAAAGTCTCACCGTTTAAATTATTTTAATAACCAAGATTAATTTTATTAATCAACTTTCTTGAATCTCTTTTATACTATAACATATAGTTAATCCATTTCATAGTTTTTAATGTTTTAATCACACATGCTGAAAAATATGAATCATTTTAAGATATATACATTCATATAATAATTATACTATATAACATTTTAAATTGTTTTTGCATTGATCAATTAAACAAGATACATCATATTATTGTAAATGATAATTTCAAATAATATTCTTTATCTCATTATACATAAGTAAAAAGGAATATTCTTAGAATTTTAGAAATTCTTAGAAAAATTTTATTTATAATTAGTAAAAATATGAGATTTTATACCGATTCTCAGTTTGTATTCTTAATATATACAAGGTAATATCACTTTCTTGATTTGTCGGCAATAGTATTGGTCATTGATCAGCCTCTAATATCAGATAATTTGTAAAATTTTAGCATTTTAAAAAAATTCTTTTCTTCAACAAAATCAAAATATAAAATAGTATTTATTTCATTTATGTAGTTAATTGAAATCAGTCCTCTTCCACCTGATAAATAATATTAAGCATAATATAATTAAAGTATACCTTCATATCATAAATGACTATTATAGTAATAAGAGTTCCGTTATTATTAGTTCAATTCAAGTCTAGAATTTTTGTCATAAAATCTTGCAACTTTCCAAATGGAACTTCAATATGTTTTATATATTAATTTATTTTTGTGTACTATTTTTCTATTTTTTCAATAACTGAATTTTAAATATTTATTCAAATATAAATATAGAAAAGAAACTTTTTAAATAATACATGCAATACTTAAATTGCAATGATAATAAATTAGGAAGAATCAAAATGAGCTTCGAAAACTTAAGACAGAAAACAAAGTTATACTTCAGAAAAAAATATAATCGATGATAAATTTTCACTGCAGAATTTTTATACAGAGTATAAAGCATAAGAAATCGTATATGAGCTAGTTATACATGATTATTCCTAATGTAATTTAATATTCTTAATACACATTGTGATAGATATACATTATTATTCATCGCTTTTCGTTTTTTAAAATTTTTTTTAATACTATATATTGAACAAAATATATCAATAAATTATTTGAATTTAATTAATTAATCCAGAAAATGTAAATTTGTTTTATTGTTTATTTTGAACAAAGCATTTTCATTTATATATAAAATATCGATATAATCTAAACTGAACCTGCTTTGTGAATGAGTATATAAATCATTTTCATGCCTATAATAAGCACATTTATTATCAACCATAAGCTAATTTTATACTTAATTTTTTAAAAGTTTTTCTTTGATATTGAATATATTTTCTTCAATTCTTCAAAATAATATTTAAGGGCAACATTGTAACATTATACATTGTAATAACATTACAACATTATAACATTGTATTATTTATTTATTATATTTATTAAAACATTTTATTTTTTAATTTTCTCAACTTTTTTTTAGACACTTCAAAATAATTGGAAAGTATTATATATATGAAACATATGTTCGAATATTTTGCCCTAATATGAATAAAAAATAAAATATTTTAATAGCTCGGAAAATTTTTTCTAGCAATCCAATCTTTAAATTTAAATTAAATTTATTACAAATTACATCTGCATTTATTATTGTATACCTTCTACTGGCATAAGTAATTAAGTCAATATTTCGAAATAGACTAAGTTAAAGTTTATTTCTATATCTTTATTTCTATAATTATTTTTATTATATCCAACTATTAAAATTATGTACAAAATAATACAAGTACCTAAAATGTAAAATTTCCTAATTTTTTAAATTATGAATTATTGCTTATAAGTGATATTATTAATTCAATTATCTTAAATATATCTTAATAGAAATTAGTCTTATTAATCTTATTAATCTTAATAGAAAAATTAGGACATATGTATAAAAAAATCACAAATATAATCTAGTAATTGACTAATATGTATTCAAATAAGAAATAAGTAATTTGTGATTAGACAATCGCACAAATACCTTCATTATTTATTAAAATTAAAGTAGATTTATTATTTATGACACTGTAAGTTAATTTAAATGGTTTTTCATATTAAATTTAAAAAAGTAAAAATTAACACGTAATACATTATTACTTTTATTAATATTTTTTTCAGCTACCTAAGAATTTTTTATTGTATAGTTAACTAATTACAAAACTTATACGACATTTCAACCTTCTTTTAACCTCTTTCATAGCAATTAGTTTTTTATATAAGCGGCTGCATTCTTATATAAACGAATAAATCTTTAAAATAATTAATAGTTTACTACAAATAAAAAAACGTAGATAAAAAACATAACAAATAAAATATCCTTTATATTCTTATCGAAAACTCATAAAAATTAAAAAATGTTACAATACATCTCAATTACAACAGTAACTAGAAAATATAACATAATGTTAATTGAAACTCTACTAGAATTAATATTGTAGAACTAGAAATTCATTTTAATGATACAGAATTAAAAAATTAATTTTGTATGTACTAAATAAGAGAGAATTTGACATTGGATTAATTTATAATATACAAATGTTTATAAAAACGAAAAATAACAACTAGAGTGCTTAGCATGTTATCAGTATCCATCAGTATCAAAATATCTATTTAATTCCAATTAATCAAAATTGCATTATATTTATATTTAAATAAGTGTATTTAATTCATCGGGCAATAAATAGATAAGGAATTTAAATAAATAAAAAATAACAATTTCAAATAACAAACTTGATATTTGAATATAATGTATGTATAATAGCCATAAGCACGAAATAACATAAAACTTCATATAAGTTCGGGTTTTATCTTCGTTTGAATACAAAAATTTTAAAAACAAATTATTCCTTAATCATATAAATGTGTTTTTTAATATATAGATGTTTATAATGCAAATGTGTTTACATATTATTTAATCGATTTAATCGATGAATTATAAATAAGAAATAGATATAAAATGCAATGAACTCATACATAAATAACTCCAGGAGTAAAGTTTTTTAAACAGAATATTGAATAAAATTGTAATATGAATTAATTATAATTATAATTAAATTATAATAGGGCAATTATTTATATCTATTAATGTTATAAATAAAAATAAAATAACAGAATATAATATAATTTTTGTTTGATATTAACATAAATGTTATTACAGTTAAACTAATTTTCAATAATTGTTTGAGCTATATCTATACTATTTTAATAAAATCCTGTGATTTACGTACTATATTTAACATATGGTATTTGCTATTATCATTTTATGTTAAAGCCATTTTCCATATATGTGTGCTTAAAACTTATTCATATTTCAACACTCAACTATTTTTTTTGTTTGGTAATGAAAGAATTTAGCACTTTTTAAACAAACTTTAGTAGATGAGAAACAGATATATTATGAACAAATCAAATTTAATGATGCATAAACAATTTCCGAACATTGTTTAGAAATTTTTATTTTCGATGCGCGATGCTTAATTTATAGTACATATTTGCATCCAAATATATTTCATATTTCAAGTACATTGAAAATTTCTGTGTTCCTCCATATGCTTAAAATCACTAATTATTTTAAATTTTAAAATAAATTAAATATCTTAGTATTGTTATTTATATGATTCTTTATACTGTTGCCCTTCATACGAGTCAATAATTTCTATTTAAATGATTGAATAATGCATACTTCTTTAAAATGGCCACAATAAAAAGAAATTTAATAACTAGAAGTTCATTTAAATATCATGAGTTGTTTATTAATATTAATTTATAAAAAATGTAGTTATAAATTAATAAGAATTTATTGTTTTTTAAATAAAGGTTTTTGTTATAATTTCTTAATAATATAAAAAATTAATTGTTATACATTTTTCAATAAATTAATTATAGATTTTTTCATTAATTAATAGTAATAGTAACATTTTTCAATTATTTCAATTTTGTTAGATATATAATAAAATGAAAGCGTGATTGTATATAGGAGTGTAATTGACCATTATGATAAGATAAATGATCTAAAATATAGAAAAAATCTAAATGGAAATAAAATTTGTAATAAATAGGTTCCTATTTAAAAAATATATTTATTAAAAGGTAAGCCAAATAGTTTAATAGTGTAATATAAATTAGATGATAATTTAAAAAGTCATATTATAAAATAGCAAGTCATAAATACATATTTGAAAATCGAAAAATATTGTTTAGGTTATTTTTTATTATTTTTTATTAATTAATTTTCTGATGTATATCAAGTAAAATTGTAATTAAAATGAAATATGCCTTTATAATTTGTACATGAACATAAATATTAAAATATGCTTTAAGTTACTTTAATTAAAATATTTTACATTATAAGCAGTTATATAATATTATTATTATGAATATATTTTTAGATATATGCTTGTTTATTTTATAAATTAATATGGTACTCGAGAAAAGTCTATTGAATATCGAAATAAAATCATTTTTATAAATTATTTTACATTTATATACTGATTATATTATAATTATAATACTGATTATTTAACTTTTTAATAATACATAATTTTAAAAGAAAATCCATATAAGTTGTTTAATTAACATGTATTTTAATATTTCATTTTTATTCTTCAATGAAATATTATATTGATAATGTATCGTTCATTACTTGCTCTTCTGAAATTTGTTCCAAAAAGAGTTTTGTTTGTATTTTTGAATTATTGTTTTCTGTTAAAAATACTGGACTTTCAATTTGAGATATGGTACTTTTCATAATTTTAATAGTATTGTCAGTTGAATATTTAAATTGGTTCATATTATACGTATGTTTGGTATTCAGAACTCCAGTTTCCAAATCCCTTTCAAGTGTGTGTCCAGATTTAGATCTCATTAATTGACGTTGCACATATGTTTCTAAATTATTTTCTTCTCTTTTGACTATTACACGATTTAATATTATAAAAAAACATCCTGCTATTATTAAAAATATACCAACGATAGTAAGTTCATTCCACCATATTTCAGGTTCTTTTATTTTCCTTGATGTAATATTACTGGGAAAAATACCACTAATTAATAAAAATGTTCCTAAAACTAAAAAAACTACTGCAATATGTAACATCCCAATTGATGTAATAACTTTGGAATGTACCATTCCTTGAGTAGAATATTGTTGAGAATTTATCTTTCGATGTTGATGAATACTTTTATCAAATAAAGCAATTGATTCTTTTGGTGATGTCAATCCACTTTCACCTGATTGACTGCTATATCGACGTTCTTCAGCACGACGCTGCTCGTCTCGTCGCTTGCGTTGCCTTTTTATAGCCAATGCTGAGTGTAATCCAACAGCATGCATCCTGTAACATCAAAAAATGATGTTCTATGTCATTTGCTGACTTCTATTATATTTATGTTTCTTCGTAACGTATTCAATAAATAAAATATTACCTTTAAAAATGTTGCGTATGATATGTACAACAATATATTTTAGTTTATTTCTATTCTGTATGCTTTATACATTATTACAAAACCTCACTATTTTCATTATTAAGAATTATTAAAGACGATATTATTTATTAAGCAATATATTCATATACTGAAATATTTTAATGAATAATAAACGTAATTAATTTGTATAGAAACAAATAATCAAACTGAATATATCAGCTTAAGTAATTAATACTGACAATCGAATTATCACGATCATCTTCTTTTATACATCAAGAGAGGTATCCATCACATTGTTCTATTTTAATCAGATTGCTAATAAACTCATTAAAAATGTACAGATAAATATGAGACTTGTTTATTTAAACTTTTGAGCATATATTATTGATTAAATTTATTATATTTATTATTTATTATTTACTATAGTTATATTTATTATTGATTATATAAAAAAATTATTCATAAAAATAAAAATAAAAGTAATTTACATAAAAATGTATTTTATACGATGTGAGTACTTGAATGCAAATTATTTGACTATAATATATTCTGCAAATTGGTGTTACGCGTACATAAGGATTAATTTTAGGCAGCACTATCGATTAGTTGACATATTAGTTACACTACAACGCGCACAATAGCTTAACAATATATATAATTTCTGAAACAAGTTAAGTAAAAGGACAAGTATCATTATAGTAGTCATAGTAATGAAATGAAATAGATGCATTAACTTGACGCATTATAACATTCGTCTTAGGATTAAAAAAATAAAAAAGTGGTAACTATTTAAGAAATGGCAATATTAATTTAGTATTCAAAAATTTGTAACCACAAATTTTTTTACTTTCCTAACGTCAAATTCATTAATATAATACGTGGAAAATCTGTTTAATCTAAAATTTTCATAATTATCTTCGGCACAGTAATTACTATCAATTTAGAGAAAATAGTAAAAATTTTAATTACAAAAATAAAAACAAAAATTATATAAATTTTTAAATATTTTAAATAGTTCATAATAAATAAATGTGTATAATGAAAAGATATACATTGATAAAATAAAAATAGGTAGGTTGATGGAAGTCTATATATATAAATTTCTTACTTATACCGACTACCCTACTAAATGAGAAGACAACACGAGTTTAACACAAATATCAATATTTTCATATATTTTATCAAGTTGAATTATATCGTTAAGCATTACGATGCAATATTATAGTCGCCATGATTGTAATAATTAATTAATAAATTAAAATCCCTTGTTAAATTATGAGTGATATTATAACTAAGAAATGCATTAGTCAACCAAATATAAAAAATATATATTTCATACAGCAATATCATTAATGAATTAATAAATAATGAAAAAACTGCACGTATTAAACCTAAACTATAAGTAAAAGGTATCACTTGAAATACTTTCATTTCATATTTACATGAAATAAAGATGATTAATAATTTATTTGTTTTGTGTCATAATACTACTGGAATAATTTTTCTATTTTTGATGAAAAATTATCACATCCTTCTAAATTACATATAGGTACACTGTTATAATTTTTTAAGCAAGTATTTCAAAAATATGTATATAGATTTTACCATAAAGAAGAAATATGTAAAGTTTGTTCCTCGGATTATAATTTCTCTTCAATTATATATGAAGTTTTTTTATTATTAATTATTTCTTTAATCTTTAAATTATGTCAAAAAGTCTTTGTTTTATAAGTCTTAAGTAAAATAATCAAATGTTATATGTAGATAAGACGTTATTTCCTAATTTTATTGTCTTTTTTTCTTTAATTTCGAATTTATGAGCATAACTTGTGGTTATTTTCGGTTATTAAAAACTTGAGTTAGTAATATAAAAAATTTGAATATGTTTATATCTAAAATCAATTCGTAGCTAAATATCTGTTACACTATTACTGTGAATCTATTTATCATTAAAAGAAAATAATTACATCTATAAAGTTTCCATTTTCGTTGGCAAAAATGTCAATATTTTTTTATAACAATTAATAAATAATAATTTTGACGATTAGCTTAAACCAGTTGTTAGATTACAGTTAGATTACATTTCTCGACTTATATGTGTGCAGTTTTCAATTTCCAAAATTCATCAATCATGATTACATTTGATTAGGTTTATTATTGTTTGTTATGTACTTCAATTTGTGAGATAAGTATAAGTATAAACTCTCTTTTTATAAAGCACAAATAAACATAAATAATATTTAACCTTTTAAATTATATTAACACTATACATAACGTATATAAAAATATTATTTTATTTTATAATTGTAATCATGCAATCGGAGTAATATTTTATACTCAACTAGCATATCGTTACAACTGGTCTTTAAAATTATTTATATCTCTATATAAATATTCAAACTTATCTATATAATATAAAGCATTCGATAAAAAAGTTCTTCGCACTATATGAAAACTTTATAGATATAAATGATAAATTGATTATGAACTACAACAGACATTGAATTTTTATATGAAATTAATATATAAAAATGAATTTTCATATTTTTAAAATGATTAAATTAATTAATTAAATAATAAAGTAGAATAATGTATAACTCAACAATTCAATAATGAATGGTATTTATGTATTGCTCTTACGAATGGAAGTAAATAAGCATTTTGTTTAATTCTGCTTCAAACATAAATACAGAATATATTTATACTGTTTTAAAAAATTTTTACATTACTTTTTTTCTATTTTTCTTTTTCTAAGTTCATTTTAATTTTAAATTAACTATCGTATCATTAACATTTTTTTTTTATTTTTACATTAAAATCAATTAAACGAAATTAATTTACAACATAACTGTAGAAAAGTAAAATTTTTATTGAAATTCAAAATTGTACATTTTAGTCCTGTTTATTAAATTTTATTATTAAATAAATCGTAATTTGTAATAAAATAATAAAAGTATTCTTAATATTTTGTGGATCAAATTTTTTTCTAAATAATTTTTTACACATATATTCTTTAGAAATTTAAAAACAAAGTAAAACTTTAAGATTGACTTAAGAGTCCGGAGTATACTTAAAGTTGCAAATATTACATAGTACTTTTGTTATCAAAATCTGCTTTAATTTTTGAGAAAGACAATAGAATAACAATACAAAAATACTCGCAGTTAGCCAATGATATTTGATATTCTATTTGTTATTTATTGTAGACATTATATGATAAAAATGAGAAGGCCTCTAAAAACTAAACAAAAATGTCTAACAAGTTGGAAAACGAAAACCTCTTGCAATAATGATATAATACATGGAATTAAAAAAAATTTCATTGCATTATTAAATGCTAAAGTCTTTTTGACATTTTTATAATTTTTTATATGCTGTGAGATGGGTACACTCATTATAATGAAAATTAAGGCTTCATAGTTGTACAATCGTTGATGCAGTTTCAATCAAATGTTGAACTAAAATAAACAGTATATTTATTTCATAGTCAAAAAATATGAACCAATTATGTTGACCGATATACAAGTACAGCAATTTAAAATTCACTTATATCATCTTCCAGCTTTTTTGCTTCATAGTGGATTTTTAACTAAATTGAATTCGTTAATAATGTTATTGATATCTATAATTTTATTCGATATATCTACTAAACTAAAAATACTTAAATTACATACTTACGAGCTGAATGATCGTTGTGTTAAATAAGAATAGATATTCAAGACAGTGTAGTTTGCATGCGAAATAAAAATATTTAAAATCTGAATACTAAAAGTAACATTTTTTAATTATCTAAATATATTAGAATAGTTAATATATGAAATTTCTTTTTTATTATCTTTATATATATATATATATATATGTATGATTTATATATCAAAACAATATAAACGAAACTTTGTAATTTATTATTTTAAATATCGCTTAGTTTACTTATTTATATATTTCTTCTTTGCTTTACATTTCAATATTTACTTTAAACTTAATGGTACATTAATTTGCTTAAGATAATATTCAAATGTTTAATGAATATTTTTTAAATTATAATGCATTACCATTGTCAAAGAACTTTCTAAACAAGTGTACTGTATTGTTCTTATAAAGTGTTATTTCTCATACAAGTCTCTTGTTTAAGCTTTTTGATGTAGTCTATTGCTAAATAATTAATTTACAAGCTCCTAATTTTTGTTTGAGTAAAGTAAATTTTAGTTTGTAAAGTAGTAAAGTATGGAGATTACTATATTTAACACATTTTAAGACATTTTAAAAAGGTAACATTCAGTTTTTATCTAAAGAAAATTTAGAGTAATTTGATTTGATATATCAAAAATAACAAATTTAAATTAGCTTTGTAGGAAAATTAAGTATCTATTAATATATATGTACTAAATTATCAACAATTATATTCTAATACTTCTTCAACACTTTTGTACCTTGAGCACCCGTTCTTTTTTTGTATTTTTTTAGTCTTCTTTATTCACTCCTGCGCAGATTAACATAAAAACAAATCGCTAAAAGAGCAATTAACTCTTTATTATGAATTTCGATCAATACATATGATTCAAGATTTCTATTAATGTTTGATTTTTCGTGTAAAATCGTGAATGTTTTAATCATTTATTAATAGTTGAGTATTAATATGAACTTGAAAATATAAACATATATTTTTTACATTTTTTACAATCCTTTATATAAATTCACCTTTATATTAATTTGGTATAAAATACTTTTAGGGCACTTAAAATTTTTACAATGTGCAAAATATAATATTACATTTTATGGCAAATCAATTGTAGGAGTTGTTATTTTTATTACATAAATAACTATATAAATTATAAATATTATTATATTATTTAATAATAATAATAATTAGTGATTATTAGAATATGAATTATAATATAAATTCATATAATATGAATATTACTATTTAATATATAACATAAACAAGTACGATTAATCAGATAAATTGGGATTTGATAAAATAAAGAAAATAAGAACACAGATTTTTCTAATGACTTTATTTACAAAACCATTCCGTAAACTGTAGTACAA